GGATAATTAGACAACTGACTATCCCTAGCACTCTACAACAGAATGGAGTGGCTGAGAGGAGGAATAGAACTCTTCTAGACATGGTTAGGTCTATGATGGCTCAAGCAAACCTACCAATTTCATATTGGGGCGATGCTTTGTTAACGGCAACCTTCATACTTAATCGTGTGCCCTCAAAATCAGTCTCTTCCACACCCTATGAATTATGGACAAAACGCAAACCGGATCTAAGTGTCCTAAGACCCTGGGGGTCAGCAGCATATGTTCATGATGATTCCCACAAGCATGGGAAATTGGGTCCTAGAGGAAAGAAGTGTATTTTTATAAGGTACTCTGAACAATCTAAAGGATACGTTTTCATAGGTGAAAACGAAGATGGAACAGTGACTGAAATGGAATCAAGAGATGCCACATTCATTGAGACTGAATTTCCTAAAAGAGGAGATGTTGACCGCACTGTATCTCTTTATGAGACACAGGAACAAGTCAGTGCAGAACAAATTGACAGGCCAGAATCGTCTAGGTGTGTCAATCTGAGTGGGAGCCAAGAAAGGTCAACACTAAGACCTGAACAAACAAAGAAAGATAAGCAAATAGCTCCGGTCAGAAGGAGTAACAGGGAAAGTGTTCCCAAAAGACGCTTTCAAATAGAATGCGAATCTCTCTTAGTTACTCCAGAAGGGGATGATGAGCCCCGTTCTGTACGAGAAGCCTTATTAGGTCCTGCAAAATATGAATGGATGAAAGCTATGGAAGAAGAAATGGACTCAATGAAAAAGAACCAAGTTTGGGTGTTAGTTGATCTTCCAAAAGGGCGTAAAGCCATTGGGAACAAGTGGGTTCTCAAAATTAAAAGAAAAATGGATGGATCAATTGACAAATACAAAGCTCGATTAGTGGCAAAGGGGTACACACAACAGGAAGGAATAGATTATGAAGATACATTCTCACCTATTGTGCATTTCAATTCTATTAGACTTATTTTGGCAATAGTAAATAGTCTAGATTTAGAATTACATCAAATGGATGTAAAAACCGCATTTCTGAATGGTGATCTGGAGGAAGAAATCTATATGGAACAACCATTAGGTTTCATTGAAAAAGGAAAAGAAAATAAAGTTTGTAAACTCAAAAGGTCCATTTATGGATTGAAACAGTCATCCAAACAGTGGTATTTGAGGTTTCACAAAGCAATAACTTCATATGACTTCCAAATGATAGAGGAAGACCACTGCGTCTACATTAAGCGGTTTGAGGGTAATTTTGTCATATTATCCTTATATGTAGACAATATACTATTAGCCGGAAATAGTCTAGATTTGGTGGTGGCTATTAAAGAATGGCTTTCGTCGAATTTTGAAATGAAAGACATGGGTGAAGCAGAGTATATACTTGGAGTTAAGATCCAAAGAAATTGTTCAAAACGAATTCTCTCTCTTTCACAAGAGAATTACATCAACAAGATTCTCGAGCGATTCAACATGAAAGACTGCAATCCCATGAGTACACCTGTTGCCACTGGAGTGGCTTTGAGTTCTGACATGTGTCCCAAAACCGAATCTGATAAAAGGAAGATGGAAAGAGTTCCATATGCCAGTGCTGTTGGTAGTCTGATGTACGCAATGATGTGTACAAGACCAGACATCTGTTATGCAATAGGACTGGTGAGCAGATTCCAGTCTAACCCCAGTGAAAAGCATTGGAAAGCAGTGAAGAGGATCTTGAGATACTTAAAGGGCACTTCCAATTATGCACTGTGCTACGAAGGAGGTGACCTGTGTCTTGTTGGGTACTCCGATGCTGATGTAGGCGGAGATGAAGAAGAACGAAGGTCAACTTCAGGTTATACCTTCTTACTCAACAATGGCGCCATATGTTGGAGTAGCAAGAAGCAAACGTGCATTGCCTTACATTCGATGGAAACTGAGTTTGTGGCTTGCACTGCAGCAGTGCAAGAGGCTTTATGGCTGAAGAGATTTATAGAACACCTTGGATTTGGAAACAAGAGTACTAATCCGGTGATGATATACTGTGACAATACTGCAGCCATAGCCTATACTAAAGATCCTAAGTATCACAGCAAAACCAAGCACATCGACATCAAGTATAATTTTGTTAGAGATTACATAGCACAAAAGATTGTTACTGTACAATACATTTCAACCAAATGTATGGTAGTAGATCCTCTGACAAAGCCAATAGGAAAAAGAGTTTTTAAAGAACATGTACAAGCCCTTGGCATACGTAAAGTGTAATATGAATGCTTCATTAATGAAATTATATTTCGTTATCACTTTATATGTCTGTCTGAAAGTATACAATGTCTAGTATGTCGTACAGGTTAAAAAGGTTGGCTCTCTCACACGGGCAACTGCCTTTGACACTCAGGTGGAGTGAACAAAGATGAGACATTTGTGTTCACCAGTAAAGCAGCAATAAATGCTGATATGGTAGAGAAGGAACATAAACTTTATGTCGCCTTGACTAAAGTGTAGCAAGTCAAGATGAGATCCACATTGATAAAGCTGGATCGAAGTTTGGAATCCCACTTCCATAATACTTGTAGCCAGATAACAAACTCTTCAACGTCGACGTCATAACAATGAGCAGAGTTGAAGAATTTGGGTTTAGATACTGAGTGTGTCTGGACCTAAGTCTGTACGGTGTTAATAATAAACCCAAATCAACATACGCTCTTATAGTAAAAGAGTAACACCGTAACATGTGTTTCATAACACATGTGCTGAGAGAACCGCAAAAGGGAAGCAAGTGAAAGATCCCTGCTTCATTGCTGTGTGAGTCCCAGGGAGGAATTATCCTCCTATTGGTGTCCTTTGACTTTGACAATATCATGAAGATATGTTTCAGTGACTGCTACTTTGGCATATGTCCTATAGTCATGATTGATGCGATCTAAGGTAGTATGCTAAGAAAGCGACTGATTCATTTCAAAGTGATATTTGGGCAAAAGGAAGATTGACTGTGATATACACACCTATGCTAGTGTCTGTGACATGTCCCTTATGACATTTTGTGGTCGTAAGTGTGGATACTAGACATAAGAGAAAGGTAATCTGAGTCAACTATTGACTTAAGAGGGATTAGATTTACCATGAAAAAGTGTATATAAGTAAATCTAGGACATCTGAGGCATAATTTTAAGTTCAAGCTACACAAAGGAGAGGGTGACTTGTGCTGATCCTTTAAAAAGGATTTCTAGTACAGGGACCCAAGCGAAGACGTCATGCCCACGCGGTCACGGCAAAGCACTAAGTATGAAATTGAGGGAAGGTGAAGAGACTAGACCCGGGACATCTAATCCACCAAGTGTGAGTGGGAGATGTAAGAAAATGGGCCAGTCCACCCTTGGTGGATTGGACCCAAGCCCATTTATCATTTGGGACTCTAGTATAAATAGCAAAACTCATGGGTCTTTAACTGTAATTTTTGCCATTTTATATGATTTGCAAAAAGGAGGGAACGGTTGCAGGTGGGAGGAGACAGTTTTTTATTTGAAAAAAGGGGGAGTTAAAAAATGGTTTTATCTGAAGAAAAAGGGCTAGAACGTCTGATCTTTTTTCGTGCTCCAGACTCCCTTCTCTTCTCTCAGTTCACTCTTCCTCATCTTCCCTTGCTCCAGTGTATTTGCTGTGTCTCCCAAATCCGACTCCATCACCGTGATCGGATCTCCGCGTGGCAACCTGACTTTATTGCAGACTCCAGGTATGCCCGAAATCCTTCAGATCTTATAAAAATAACCAAATTACCCCTTTGCCTTTTACCTTTCACTCATTTGCTACTGTACCAATGGCCTCCATCAACATTTGCCAACGATAAACCTCAACATGTGAAAAGTTTAAGAATTTATAGAAATTTATTATAAAATTTTATTTTTTAAAAAATATTACCCATACATAATTTATTCTTTTTTCTAAATATTTATATTTTTTAATTAGAGACAATCTTATTTTATATATTGTCTCGCACTAGCTTATCTTAAGTAGTTTGAAAACAACACTTTCGGCCAAAAAAGTTTTAAAAAAGGCCCAAGAAGGTGTCATAACTGTCCTGTAAAAAAGACAATTCTTTTTTTTTTTTTTGGGAAACAGGAAGATGTTTCATTTTTCATTTCATTTTTGCTGCTCTAATCCCTGATTTTAGGTCCACTGACATTGGAGAAGTTCGAAGAGTGAAGATGGGATGCAAAGCTGCATCTGTATGTGTTTCTCTGATTCTCTCCACTTGATACGATGCCGTTTCAAAACCCACCTCAATGCCCTCGCGTCGCATGCCCTTTGAATGTACAACCAACCCAATGTGCCTGATACCTCTCCCCGATTTGTCAGATGCAAATATTATTCAGAAGGCCTGAAGATAACCCAACCTCGTCCTTTATTAAACCCTTTTCATCCTTCTCACTACTGTAAGTGCTCTCGGAATCCATAGCAATTTTTATAGCATGCGAATCAATCCCCGGAAAGTTTGTTCTGTTTTTGTTTTCTTGTTGCTCTCAGGTAAATCTCCATAGTTTTGAAGGATTTGCTTCTCTTAACTTCAACTTTCAGAAAAGATATGCCTCTTGACATTAATTTGCATCAACACAGAATTAAAATTTTATTGGAGGACACCTCCTCTTTCTTTCATCTTTTTGTCCCTGAGTTTTGCGTGTAATTCTTGCAATCTCAACAAACACTATAGGTGAGATTGCAAGTTTAATTTGATACAAATCTAATAGAAAAGGGGGTACTCGGGGAAAAGATCACGCTACAAATTTAGTTACTACTTGAGAGTTATTCAAGGTATAAAATTCCCAAGGCATTCTTAGAGATCTAGAAAATGCACATATAATTTGAACTATCTAATGTAGATATGAAGGATTTAAATCCTCTTAGAATGAAAAAAAAAAAAAATTGGGATAGTCCATGGTTGATTTTGACAAGCCAAATCAGATAGAAAACTTGCACATTTCAATTTGTGTTACACAACTACTTTTGGCCTGCCTATTTATTAATAAAGGGGAGAGAGCATATTGTTTGAATTAGAGTGAGTATAAGGAGCAAAATTGCAGCAATAAAAGATGCTATTCTCCAAGGGGTGCTCAAGTACTCATGCTTAAAGACTGCCTTGTACTTGTGGTAAGGATTCTCGTAGAACTTGTTCAATTCTTCACATAGAGATTGATAATCACTGTTGCAAGTCATGAACACGGTATTTTTGTCAAGGCTGTTGACTAGGGAAGCCACTTCATCATTGCTGCCCAACAAGTTGTCCATGATTCCTTTCTCAACAAGGAGCTCAATATCTTTTCCAGTGTCAATAAGATAGTTCAAGAGGGTCACATAATCTGTCACATAGCTCTCAAGAGCGAGGTGACACTGCTCAAATGCAACCATATTTCTAACCACCATCTCAGTCCAATCACTGATCTGAAAATATGGTATCTTCAACACTCCCTTTGAGTATTTCAAATCAGTAATGCTTTTCTGTTGTTCATTGACCTGAAATTTGATCCCTGCCTCTCGTAGTTGTCTTGCACCATACACAGGCTTCACTTTGCCAAATTCTCTTCTTGGTAATTGATTTGGTAGGTAAAACATCCTTAGCATAGCATTCAGGTGATGGATCACTTTTGTAACTGTAGATGATTCAAATTGAGTAGTAGTCGTCTGTTCAAGGTAGTGTTGTTGAAAATACTTAAAAGTAAACTTGCAACGGAGTTCCTTTTTTGTAACAATATGGTGTAGGAACACTCTCCTAAAAAAATTGAAGGCTATCTCAGTGAATGAAAACCTATCATTGAAGCCAGTGGGAAAAGTTAGGTCAAATAGGCCTTTAAGGACGAAAAATGGCAATTGATTCTCGAGTAAAATCAAGTCTAGGTTTATGTCACACGTTGGCCATAATTTAAAACGCCAAGGGTTTTGTTCTAACAGCCCTAGACATGAGAGAAAGTACTCAATGATGAAGCAACCATCGGTTAGAATCATGCTTACAAAATCATTGCTCTTCATCGGTATGGTTTCTGAATAACAACGTCTAGTTTCATCTTCCCAGTCTCTCACAGCTTGAACATAATCCTCCAACAATTTCTCTTTACTCCTCTTTAGAAAGTTGTTGAGGCACCATAGTTTGACCTCTTCCATGGATTCCAGTCTCTTGTCTCCATGGTGAAACGGACCAATTGATATCAAGGTAGGGGTGTAGGCTTCTTCATTCACTTTCCGAATTTTTGGTGGCACTTTGTAGATGCAACATCCTGATGATAAGGGAAGCTCCAAAGAATCTATAGCTTGTAACTTGGCTTTTAAGGAGCATAACAAATCTGTTTTTTCTTCATTTTGGCTGTCCAATATCTCCATTTTCTTACAATCTTTTGATGGACCTGCAAAAAATTTAAAAATGCAAATTGATTATATTCTCTTCAGCCGTAATGAAATTTAGCTAACAAATCATGTTCCAATTGGTAAGTCTCAGAAGAGCTCGAGTATAAGTCTTGTTATTCATTTAAGTATCTTATTGGCGGATTGTTTGTGCAAGCCTCTAGCAAGATAGTCTTTTATTAAATTCAATCCCTTGCGATGTTTAAAACCCACGTACCACCAAACAGAAGTTGTACAACCTTTCTTTTGAAACAGCCCATTATATCAAACATGTTTGTAAAGGCAATTTTTTATCCTTATCTTCATTCTCATTCCTTCAAAATCCATCTACATGCCAAATGTGGCCTGCAGATCTTATTGGTGTGAGATTCACCCTAAGTAAGTTTCTTTTACAGCCCAACTCATCACCAAAGCTTTCAATTTTCAACGTAAATGAACATAAATTTTTTATGCTTGAGATTTTCTAATGACCTTCATCTTCCTTGAATTAACTCCCTGAGATTAGGCGACACTAAATAGCAGAGTATATATTCCTCTAAAGGAACCAGAATGCCATTAGATATACTTTGCTTATCCATCATTTGCTCTGCATTTTTCGTTCTTTCTAGGAAGTTTGAGCATATGACAGGAAAATCTATCCTTTTTGGTGTCTGAATCGTATCTTTAAAGCCTCAGAGTTACATAGAGAACAATTAAAAAGAAAGATTGCTGCAGATATTACAGTAAGAGATATACGAGAGAGGAGAAACTTGACCTGATATGTTGAATGATGTAGCCGTGAAACTGAAGAAAATATCAGATATCGCCGATCGGAAACCCAAGAGACCTCAATTCCACTTGTAAACTCGTCAAGTGCCTTCTACTTTAGACATTCTCTCTGCAGTGCAATGGTCAATTCAACTCAATCAACCTCAAGCTAAGTCTCTGGATATATATATATATATATATATATATATATATAGAGCAATATAATATAATAGTAATATATCCAATTTTTTTAAAAAAATTTTGGTTGTAAGGCACATGGTGCACTGTATTTATTTTCATTGGATTAGGTTTATTTATTTAAAGTAGAACAAATTCCAATCCAAATGAGTGAGCTAACAGTAAAGTGGTCGTGCCAATTCAACTGCTTCGTTAAAGCTCAAATTTTCTGATATTTATTTATTTTAAAATTCTGCACATGATTATCAATAAAATATTTTAATCACGTATTCCCACTTTTTTTTGGCACCAAACTCTAAAAATATGGAGAAAAATCAAGAGGCAACAACTGACATATCACATGTCTCCTGTTTGTACCAATAATTTTTATTAATTTATTTATATATTTGACCTAAAAGACTGTACCAGTGTTTGTTTTGAACTTTCGAGAATGTATGGTCCCTATTAAAAAGAACGAGCTGGAGCCAAATTGATGGATATAAAAGAAGTCAGCAAGAATTTTGTCACAAGCCTAAATATTTCCTTATTTAAAAATACATATCAATACATTCAGACAAAGCAAACTTACGGGAGCGAAATGAATTAAAAAAAAGGAGAAAGATACCTAATGCCTAAAATAAGATTATTTGCAAAGTTGCAAAAAGCAAATGGATCTATGAATTGCTTATTATACCAGTTCACGTTTTATTAGTAGGATAATTAATATGTAAGTTTTTATAGTTTGAATCGGTTTTTAGTCAGGTTTTTATAATTTTTTTTATGTCCTTATAATTTTTCTTTTTAATCAGCAAGAATTTTGTCACTAGTCTAATTTTTTTCCTTTTTATCAGGTCCTTATAATTTTACATATTTTTAACCACATCCTTTTTCTTTTACTTTATTTTTAATTAAGTCCTTGTAGTTTTTACTCTTTATTCTATAAATAATAGTATTCTATAAATAATAAATTATTATAATAATCTTATGTTGATATTCTTTTAAATTTTTAGTTAAACATATATATTATTTATTTGTCAATTCTAATTTTTATAATTATAAAATTAAAATTAAAATAAATTTTTTAAAAAATTAGAATATAATTATAAATATTTTATAGTTAAGTATAATTGATTATTCTGATTAAATATTAATTACTAAATGATTATATTAATTATTTTATCCAATTATATAATTATTAATTTAAAAATGAAATTAATGTTAAAGAATAAAGTTAAGAAATAATTTTTTTAAAACCATAAAGGACCTAATTAAAAAATAAGTGAAACTATAAGGACCTGATAAAAAGGAAAAAAAAAGAGGGATTTAAATAAAAACACATGAAAGTAAAAGAATTTGACAAAAAGAAAAAAATTTTATAAGGACCTACTTAAAAATAAGATGAAACTATAAGGACCCAAAGGTTAATTAGTCCTTTAATTAAACAATGATAAATTTGGTTATCTTTTTTTTTTTTTTTTGGTGCCACTGGTTGTCTTTTCAATTATATTTAGCTAATTTTAATTATATTTTTTATCCACACAATTCGGTTTTTTTTTTGGTCATAACTCCGCTACTTATTATATTTATAGATGATTTAAAATCACAACCTCATATTTACAAAAACTTTAAAAGAACTATTTAGTGTCATTTAAGTCTTAAGATCCTCACACATGATTCGGTTGGGGAGAATTTGACCCAAAAAAAAAAAAAAGCTTAAAATTACCAAATTATTGATAAAAAATTCTTATAAAAAATTTGTTGTTATTTGAAAGTTTATTGTTATTAAAATTTATTAAAATATTGTTATGAAATCTGATTTAAAATTTAATAATTTTGAATTTCTTTTTATAGATTCTCTCTCTGATTATCTTTTTTTTTTTTTTTGAGATACAAGAGAGCCGGTTCGAACCCGCCCGCATACACTCAACACACACCATACCACTGGGCCTAAATGGATAAAACGAAGTATGATTTATAAGCTAACGCATGGCGAATCCTTTGTTTATTTTTATTTGGTCAATGTGAAAACTGAAAAGTTAAAACGCGTGGGATGCACATTTCCACCCAATGCCACATCATGTCGTGTTCGCATTCGGTGCTCTTCATGCTCACCACTCAAAACTAGGACTGGTAAAACGGGCCAACCCGCGGGTTGCAGGTTGACCCGTGGTGGGTTATGGGTTGTCCGGTGCGGACTCAAAAGGCCCGTTTTCTGGCGAGTTGGCATTTTGCCAACCCTAACCCGTCAAGGTGGGTTGGCGGGCCAACCCACCAACCCGTCAAAATTTTTATTTTTATTTTTTTAAAAATTTTCTTATTTTTTTAAATGTTAGCAATTATATATAATACAAAATAAAAATACTGAAAATGATATAAAATATTAGAAACATCCAAATAAAAATTACAACACAATAAAATAGTATATGATTGTCCAATTTTCCAACATGATAATATACAAGTTCACACATTTTTTTTTCAATGAAACCAATGAGCAATATTGAATAACCTTATTTATCTAATTATTTCTAATGACAATAAAGTTTGAAGTAAAAATTTGTTTTACTTTTGCCTTTGTTATCTATTTTTTTTTTAAAAAAATAGATGGGTTAACCCGCGGGTTGGCGGGCCAACCCACTGCGGGTTAGGGTTATGGCGGTGCGAGTTATATTTTTTAAGGTAGTGGTGGGTTGGCTTTTGGCCAACCCTAACCCGCCATTTTTGGCGGGTTGGACCTGCGGGTCCAACCCATCTTACCGGCTCTACTCAAAACATGGCAGCAGATAACCATTTCTTTTTTTTTTTTAATTTTTCTTTTTTTTCGCTACAACTTTTTTTTTGTCTTATCACATGCAACAGTCTCCTAAAATTTTTCAATCTGATTTTGTTCATCTTTAGTTTCTCACTTTATTGGACATTACTAAAAGGGTATCCAAATTAAATAAAATGGTATTGATGTGTGAAAAAATTTAGGATAAAACTGTATTTAGTATTGTTATATTTTTTTTTATTTGTATTCAATATCCTAATGTTATATGTGATGCATCCAATATTCTAATTTTATTTATAATATATTTAGTATCTCTGGATCATAAATAATATTGTGGTCTTGGATGTAACTGGAAAATAATTTCAGAGGTACTGGATAAGCAAAAAAAAAAAAAAGCTAAATGTACCATAAATAATATTCTTCCGATCCTAAGTATAAAATTTTTTTGTAGTATAATTTAAATGTACCGTAAATAATACTCTTCCGGTCCTTAATATAGGACCTAATTCTTGAGTTGGTTTTAGTTCTAAATATAAGACCTCTTTCTCATATTTATCAATTTTCTCTAAATTACCCCTATGGATACTCCCTCAATCATAATCAAGTAAAAGAGAAAGATGGGGTATTAAGAAAGATGATTATGGTGTTTTAGGAAAAATATTTTACTTTTTTTTATAATTAACTAACTTACCTAACTTTCTTAATCTAATCAAATTAGTTAAATAGGTTTTATATTAAGAACAGGAGGAGTAGTATGTTATTTTATTATATAACCAATATCCAACTGTTATTATGATCAGATCATGAGCGAGTAGGGAAAGAACTAGAGTGTATGGCAAGTATGCCTGAAATCTCACAAAGTCCACTTCAGTTTCACCGCCACTGACAACCTACTATCTTTTGATAGATGAAGCTGCCAAGATGCGACTCGTCTGTCAAAACCTAATTGCTGGAAGTGTAAATGGATTCATTAACAATATATATACATATGCACTGTAAAATAAAACATTGATCTTAGTAAAATGACCAAATTACCTCTCTGCCCTTTGCCTTTCACCATTTTGCTACGGTACCAACGGCCTCCATCAACATTCGCCAACAATAAACCTCGACATGTGAAAAATTTAAGAATTTATAGAAATTTATTATAAAATTTCACTTTTTTTAAAAAATGTTACCCATACATAATTTAATTTCTTTTTCTAGGCACAATTATCTTTTAATTAGAAACAATCTTATTTGAGGTATTATCAGGTATTTATGGAGTTTAAAAAAAAATTTGGCTAAAAAAAGTTTGAAAAAAAGCCTAAGAAAGTGTCATAACTGCCCTGTAAAGAAGATTTTTTTTTTGGTTTACGGTAAACAAGAAGATGTTTCATTTTTCACCTTTT